TTTTATTAACTAAATTTTTATTATAATTTGTTTTTTTCTTGTTTTGATGTTGTTTCTTTGTTTTTGTGAGATAGCATCTCATTCTACAGCCTTGGTTGAACTGGAACTCACTATCTAGGCCAGGTTGACCTGGAACTCACTATCTAGGCCAGGTTGACCTGAAACTCACTGATATCCATTTGCCTCTGCCTCCTTAATGCTGGGATTAAAGGCATTCACCACTATGTCTGGAGTTGTTTAGCTTCTTGAGTTCTTTGTATGTTCTGGAAATTAAATTCTCTGTCAAATTTGTCAATTGGAAAAGATGTTCTCCCATTTTGGCTCTTGACTCAATTGTCTTTTTCTGTCCAAAACCTTTTTAATTTTATGAAATCCCATTTGTACATTGTTGAGCATATTTCCTGAGCTAATGAAGTCCTATACAGAAATTGATTGTCTGTGCCTATATTTCAAAGTGTGCATCATACTTTTTTTCTGTTAGTTCCAAATCAGGTCTCTCAGTAAGGTACTTCATCTTTTTTGCTTGTGTTGATAATGAGTGATAAGATTCTGATATTGTTCTCACATGTGTATATATCCAGTTTTATCTACACACATGTTAAACATGCTATCTTTTCTTCAATGTGTGCTTTTGGCATCTATGCAGGACATAAAGTGGCTGAAGGTCTATAGGCTAATATCTAGGCCCTGTGTTTTAATGGTTTTATATGAATTTCAGGATTAATTATTCTTTTTGTTAAGTAAAATATTGACAGTTTTATTGGAATTACATTAAATAGTAAACTTTCTTTGGAAAGGCAGCTATTTCATACTTATTAATTATTCCAACACATAAACATGGAAGGGCTTTTCATCTTCTAGTGTCCTTCTCTTTAGTTTTTAAATGTTATTATAGATGTCTTTCATGTCCTTAGTTATATTTTATTAAGATTTATTTATTAATTTTTATTTTATGTGTATGAATGTTCCAGAATAGATGTATGTATGTATGTACACCATTTACATGCTTGATGTCAAATCACCTAAGACTGATGTTATAGACAATTGTTAGCAGCCAATCGGATCCTAGAGTCAAACCTAGGTCTTCTGAAAGAGCAGCAAGGGCTCATAACTGCTGAGCCATCTCCAGTCCCATCCTTGGTTAGTTTGTTTATTCCAATGTCTTTCTTTCTTTCTTTCTTTCTTTCTTTCTTTCTTTCTTTCTCTCTTTCTTTCTTGAATGGAGATAGTAGACATCCTAATTTTGTTCTTGACTTTACTGGAAATGCTTTGAGGGTTTACCCATTTAATATAGTATTGGCTACCCATTGGTCACATATGGATTTTATTATGTTGTGATATGTTCCCTCCAACCCTAATCTGTTCAAAACTGTTTTATTTTTCATGAAGTGATGTTGAGTTTTGTCAAAGATCTTCCTTACATTGAAATGTCAGGTGATATCTGTTCTTAAGTTCACATGTTGTGGTAGTTTGAATGTAATTCTCCCAACCCATAAACTCATAGGAAACGGTAGTACTGGAGGTGTGCCTTTGTTGGAATAGGTATGTCCTTGTTGAAGCAAGTATGTCACTGTGGAGATGGGCCTTGGGGTCTCATATATGCTCAAGTCATGCCCAGTACCTGAGTTTACTTCCTGTTGCCTATGAAAATGTAGAACTCTCAGCTACCTCTCCAGCACCTTGTCTGCTTGCACAACGCCATGTCCTACCATGATGATAATAGACTGAACCTCTGAACTGCTAACCGTCCAATTAAATGTTTTCTGTGTCTCTTCATAGCAATAGAAACCCTAAGACAGAAGTATTGCTGGGATGCAGCCAGATTGATCGTGGTGAACTTTAATCAAATTGTAAGTGTTTGAGAAGTTTTGCATTATATTCATTATAGAGACAGATCTCTACTTTCTTTTGTTGTTATTATTATTTTGTCATTATCTGGCTTTGTTATCAGGATGATAAAGGTGTTGTGCTTGGTTGGTTTAAAAGTCAATTTGCCATGAATTGGAATCTTTTGAGGACAGAGCTCCACCTGAAGGATTTTCCCACTTGTCTTCATTGATTGAGGAAGACCCAGGCCAATTTTGGCTGGCACCTTCTGGCAGCAGCACTGCAGAAGGAAATTCACCTTGCCCTTTGTTTGTTAGCCCTTCCCTCTAAATGCAGAGTTGACTCATTCATTGATGCTTCTGATTCCTCTGATGGTGGCAGAGTCACCATTTCCAAACTTCCATCTGAGAATAGGGACTAGCAATTCTCCAGGAGCTTCCCAGACGTTGATGCAAAATTGGGACTACTGAGACTTATGCCTTGTTGACTGAGTAGCTACTACCATTGCTTCCACAGAGACAGCCATTGTGGAACTACTCTGTTTTGAGACATACAATCTCAAGGACCAAGCAACTACCTGCTTCTCAGCTGCTCAGTTATGATTTGGCTATGTTCAGATTTTAAAGCTTACTTAATAAATTCTGAAAGACACATATATGAATATACATGTGTACATACATTATTATTGAGGATTTTTCACTCCCTTAGTTATGAATTTTTAGGTTTATTTATTTATTTTTATTTTATATTGTATGCGTGTTTGCCAGAATATATGTATATGCACCATTTGAGTGCCTTATGTCAGATCCCCTAAACCTGGAGTTACTGACAATTGTGAACAGCTATGTGGTGCTAGAATCAAACCTAAGTCTTCTGTAAGACTTATATATGCACATACATACACACATTTGTATTCATATATATCTTTATATAAATTCTTGTATGGATGCATTCAAACATGCATGCATGCATCTATATTTCCCTTGGTTTTGTTGTTCTAGAGAACTTCACTAAAACAATTGGCTTTTTAAAGGGAGCTTGGAAATGTAGGCCTTTTCTGTTTTATTGGATAATTTGAAAAATATTGGTGATACTGGTAGAATTCTGCATATCTGGTCGTAAACTTTTTTAATTGGGAGATTTATAATAAATGTTTCATCCTGATTGCTTGGTATAAATCTATGTCATCTGTTCATCTCATCTTGATTTAACTTGGTAGGTCATATTCACATAGAAATTCACCCATTTCTAATTTAGTGGAATTTAAGTGTTTAATGCATGACCTTATATTTTTTCTGTATTTCATCAGTACCTAATGTAGTACTTCCCTTTGCACTTATAGATTTACTAATTTGGCTATTTTTGTTTGTTTAGTTTAGTTTAGTTTTGCTAAGGGCATGTTGATCTTGTTTGTATTTTTCAAGGACCAGTTGTTCTTCATTTCATTAATTGTTTGTATTGCATTTTTGCTCATTTGTTTGTTTCTGTCTCATTAATTTCTGCCCTGTCCTATTTATTTACTTATATTGCTCTGATGGGAATCATTGAGTTATTTATTTGAAGCATATCTGATTTGTTAAAATGTATCCATATAGCTATAGTTTCCTTTGAGAAGTGATTTCCTTGTATCTCAAATTTTTTGGTAGCTAACCTTCATTTTCATTCAATTCTAGGATAATTTTTTTCATTTTCTTCTTAATTTTTTCCTATGCTCATTCATCATTCTGTATATGTTTAGTCTCCACAAGTTTATGAATTGTCTCATGATTTCCATGTTGTTGATTTCTACCTTTATTCCATTGTGATATAAGAAGTTATTTCAAATTTTCAATATTTGTTTGTACTTGCTTTGTCTCTTATCTTTGATCACTTTTAAAGAAAGTTCCATAAATTACAGAGAAGAATGTGTATTCTACAGTTTGGGGATGGAATGTTCTGTAGATGTCTGTTAACTCCATTTCATCAATGGTGTCATTTAACTCTGATGTATCTATGTTTATTTTCAGTTGAGATGACCTGCCTAATTGATAGCAGTTGAGTATTGAAATCATCAGCTATTGTTGTGTTTGGTTAAACTGTGAATTATAGCTACTAGTGTTTGCTTTATGGATTTTGGTCCAACATTGTTCAGTGCATATATGTTTCCAATTGTCATTTCCTCTTGATGGATTATTACTTAATCAGTATGATGTGACCTTCTCTATATATTCTAATTTTAGCTATATTTTTCATATATTGGAATATTTATGCCTTCTTATTTTCTAGTTACTTTTGCTTGAAATACTTTTACCCATCCTTTAACCCTAAAGAAGTATCTGACTTTGATGCTGATGTGTATTTTTTGGAAGCAGCAAAAAGATGGCCCCTATCTTTATTTCAGTCTGCTACACTGATAGTAAAACTACTAACCAGAGTTGTTATTAAAAGATGTGTATTTAGCAGGTGATGGTGGAACATGTCTTTAGTTCCAGCACCTGAGAGGCAGAGGAAGGCAGATCTCTGAGTTCAAAGCCAGCTTGGTCTACAGAGTGAGTTCCAGGATAACCAGGGCTACACAGAGAACCCTGTCTCAAAGCAGAAACAAACAAAAGCCAAATATTTAAAAAATGAAAGATTTGTATTGATTAGTGTCATCTTGCTGATTTTGTACTAGTTGTTGTTTCCATTATCTTCATTTGCTTAACTACTGGCCTAGCATCTTTTTAAATTTTTCCCTATAGCTTCATGGATGTGTTTACTATTCTCTTCAACCAAAAGAATTCCTTCCAATATCTCCTGCAGGGCTAGGTTAGGGCTCATACATTCATTTAGCCTGTTTAACATAGAATGATTTTCTTTCTCCATTAATGATGCCACAGTTTTATAAGGTACAGTAGTCTGAGTCAGCAGATGTGGTATCTCAGAACCTGAAATATATCCTTCCATATCCTGCAGCTATTTAAAGTTTCTATTGATAAATTAGCTATTTTGAAGAACCTGCCATCGGATGTGCCCTGCAATTTTCAAAAATATTTTCATTGTTCTACATATTTAGTGTTTAACTAAAGTATAAAATGAATAGTTTATTTTCTGGTCCTATCACATTCTATATGATTCTTGTATTTTAATGGATCTCATTTTCCCTAGGTTTGAGAAAATTTACACTACATTTGAATTGAAAATACTTTCCATACCTTTGTCATGTAATTCTTCCAATTCTTGATGCTTCCAATTCTTCTTCCCTTAATTTGTTGATTTTTGTCTTTTTATGGTGTTCCAATGATTTTCCATGTTCCATTTGTGGTTTTTCTTTTTTACAATTTTCTAAATGTTTTAATGGAAATAGTATATTACCTTCTGCCTGCTTTCTTCCCTGCAGTCCATCCCAGGTATCTTCCCTCAAACCCCTCGATAGTCCATTTTCCTTGATTGCTTTTGTTACATGCACATCTATCTTTATCTATCATATCTGTCTGTCTGTCTATATATCTATCATCTATCTATTTAAATATTATGTAAATAGAACCTGATGAGTCTGTTTCTGTTGTTTGTGAGCATATGGTTTCAAGGCTGACCACTTTTCTCTGGACAACCAATAAGGGGGCTCATCACTGGGCGATGCTAATTCACCTTCTCCCAGTAGTCAATAACTACCTGTAAATCTTTGTCTGAAGTGGAACTCCCACAGAAATTTCCTGCTCTCACATTAACGTGCTTATTGATATTGTTGTTGTTTTACTTTATTACCCTTTTCTGAATGCTACAACTCCTCTACCTTATTTTTAAAGCTTGATATCCCTTATGTCCCATGCTCCATTGCTTTGGTAAAGTTTTCTACTGAGCTTTTGGCTTTACTTATTGAAATTTTCATTTTCAGCACTATTTTAGCTTGCATTTTCTTTGATGCTGCTAGATATTGAAAAACATTTTCACATCATGTATTCCATTATATTATTTCTCATTTCACTCAGCTATTTGTGTTCTCTTTGAATTATTTCAGTAGATTATTTATGTTCTCTTTAATTTCTATGAACATATTTATAAATAATACTTTTGGATTTTTTGTCCACACTTTTATTTAAATCACTTTCACTGTGACTCATCACTCTGGGATTGATAGTTTTGGGAAAAGCATTGTATGTTATTTTTTCATGTTATTTTGGTTTGAGATTGTGATTTACAGATCAGAAGTTAAATTGTTGGTTGAAGTCTTTCATTTTTTTAGGTCACTGTTTACATTGAACTAAAACATTGAGTTGGAATGTTTGCAAATTTGGTTTGGCCTCAGTTATAGCAGGACTAGAATTTTCTTTACCTCTGTTAGACTATGTTCAAGGAATCAGTCTATATCTCGAGAGTCCTCTATTGAGAGTATAATGCTGTGTACAAAAGCCATCAGTTTTGAGGAGTCTATCTACTATAAAAATGGAGTAACCATCAAGTAACAATCACCTCTAAAGTGCTAATAATTTTATAGAGAAATAGATAGTACTGGGTGATCTAATTTATTGTTATTGTATATATGAATGGAGGGAATGAAATACAGTAAGACTAATTATCAGTATTGAGATGCTAGAGTTATAAAGAAGGAAATAATAAAAGAAGGAACTGTAGGGTCAAATCATTGGAGGAGATTATTTTAGGGCTAAAATAACACTGCAAAAGAGATGGAGGTAAAGATGGGAGAGAGAAAAAGAGGCAGAGCAGCAGAGACAGACAGACAGACAGACAGACAGACAGACAGACAGACAGACAGACAGACAGAGACGGATTCAGCAGAGAGAGATTGAGAAGTGAAGACATAGGTCATGGACACTGACTGACATGATTGCTAGATTCAGTTTAGACTCTTTTGACTCTATTGCATGGCTTCCTCAGATCCTAGAACCCAATCTTGTCACTGGTAGTTTTTCTGTGACCTCTTCTTAATGGTTTCTTGAGTTTCTGTATTAACTGTTGAATAGTTTGATACCTGCTTGTCATTATAGTGGTTTAATTGTTGACCATATTTAAGATTTTGTCATGCACATTGCATACTCTACTATACCTAACATGCACACCACATACATAACCACACATGTGTGTACCCATGAACACCAAATGCATGTACCCTGCACTACACCTCTGTGCACACCACATATAGATACACAAATGCATTGCATGCATACTCATGTGAAAAACAGAATTTATATGTTCATTCCATATACACTAATGTACTACAGACACATATAATGTGCATGCCCATAAAATACCTCCATGTTTGCCACACACACATACCACCATGTATACGTGCATGCACCACATTCTTCATCTTACCAATGAGAACCCATGATATCAGGCATTTTTTCCTTGTGTGTCAGGTGCAACACAAACCCAACTTTGTGGATATTTATTCCGATATACTAGCTCTCTGTTTACAAATATGTATGGATGTTCTTACTGAATTTTGGAGACTATGGTGTTGCATGAGTTCTAATTTGTCTTAATAAGAAAAACCCAGTCAGATATAGGGCTAAATGCTGAAAGATCAGAGAGACAAAGGAGCAAGCAAAAGCCACACCTTACCTCACCAACTTCCCAGACAAAAAGAGACCAAGCTCCTGTCTCACTTTGCATATTCTCTCTCTCTCTCTCTCTCTCTCTCTCTCTCTCTCTCTCACACACACACACACACACACACACAAAATAAAGTCCTCTGTCCCTCTCTGGCCAGCCCTATCACCACTTGTTGTCTATCTATACAGACATCCGGACCTCTATGATTACCTAGTGGCTAGTCCCACGCTCAGATGTTCAGGCAAGTTTTATTTGTTAGGGTACAAACAATATATCACCACACTATGGAGCCTGACTGAGCCATCACCCAGAGTGCAAGTTACCTCAGCTGGTGTTTATCTGTACCAGTCCTGCCCTCTGGGACAAGTGGGACCTTCTTTGGGTCCTCTGTCATCCCACTCTCCTTCACCTGCTTGGGTCCAGATATAAATACCATCCTTGCCAGGTGAGCACTGTATACTTTTTAACTACTGTAATGTTTGTTTATCATTGTTTAATTCTCTTTCTTGAGCTACAAAAAATCAAAACCCACAGAAATTAGATATGCCAAATTAGCAAGGATCACTTCCCTTTCCAAAATAACTCTTGAAGGAAGTATTTTGCAAACTCAGCTAGAACACAACTGTGACCCCACACTCTACTCAGCAGCTGAGTCAGATATTGAAATGTGGGCCAGTTTGTGCCTCATATAAAGAACTCTTTCTCAAAATACCAAGGGCTGTGTACATATCCCATTGATTAAGTCCTTGAAGCATACCATGCATGGGATAAAGCCTATTCTTTTCCTTGTAGAATATGAAAATCTGCTGAGAGAACATACACTTTCACAAAGGTAAACTGAAGACCTGCATGTAGGCCGATGAAAGCAAGGCAGGGATTTCTTGTATCTGTCGATTCCTTTTTGCTTTCAGATCAAAATAATCCTTATATCAAAGTGACCTATTACTATCTTTGGATCTTATTTTCAGCCATTAAATTGTGTATACGGACCACTTAGAAGGATAGAAAAGAACTACATATAGCTACTGCTTGTAGCTGTATGCTAAGACCACCCTGTTTGGTGCTGTCATGGACTTTGTGATAGTAACAAAAGAGAACAAGAAGGAGACTGCACAGAGTGCTTGCTTGAAGCTTGGGGATGGTTTTCAGGACTCGATGTCTAACAATGATTCCTGTCTCAGACTCTAGTCCCCAGATGATTATAACAGATTGGGTTACATCGTGCAGACTGGGTATGTCACAGCTTTACCACTTTCACAGCCCTTCAACAGATAGACATTTTGATTTTTGCCTCTGGTGTACATCAGAAATTGCAAGCTTGCCACATTCTTTTGATAGCACAAGTGGGTTTTAAAAGTTCTTATAGCCTTAATTTTTCACTAAATACAACCATAATTATCACAAATGACTACAGTCATTTTGTAAACATTTAGATGATATCCAAGTACATTAGGAAACTGATTCACTCTTATCCACACTTTGTGACAAAGCAACAAGATTTCTGTCCCTGTTTCAAAGTTCTTGTGATTTGCTAACATGCGTTGTGTATCACAACCGTTCCCCTCATTCCCACCCTTTCCACTCAGTTTCAAATGTAGGTAGAAAATTGTCTTCCTGGGAGCAGTTTTGCTTTTCTCTGCATTCCCACTGAGCCATGAATGGCCTTCATCTTTGATGGAAAACATGACACAGCAGGGATCACTCAGATGATTGAATGTTTGAGAATATAAAGTACACAGGAAGTGACTGCTACAGAAAAAGGTAGAAAATGCTACATAGAAATCAAGCTTTGGGATCAAAAGATTGTTTATTTTTAGATTACTCACTATATATAACAGGCTGCACTGCACTCTTTATTTTTTCTGAAGACCTGAGATCTAATGCCACTGATTTAGAAAACAGAGGCCATGGGGAGGTAACTAAGGTTATTGAGGTCCTAAGGGTGGGGCCCTATCATACTATATCCAGTGTACTTGGAAGAGAAGGTAGAAACATCAGTAATGCTCAAGCTAAGAGGATAGATCAATGCAAAGACACAACAGCATGGTAGGTGTCTCCCTCAGGAAAAGGAAGGTCTGTTAGAGCAGTCTTGAACCCCCATCCCATGTTGTGATAACACAGTCTCAACAAATGACAGTCAATGCAGGCATGTAACTAAGGTTTGTCCAATTCCTGAAGTTTATTTCAAAATAAATATTTTTGTGTCCTCCAAACTTGTTTCCTGCCTATGCAGCAATCTGTTATATGTTCAAAAAGAAACAGAAGGGTCTGTTTTTTAGTTTCTTAACACAATGAAAGTACGAATGTGTAAGGGTGTAGAAATGAAAATTACTGTAGCTTGATGCATACATGTATCAGGTTCTCACGCTGTTTCCCATAAATATTTGCATAATGTGTCGATTGAAAATTGAATCCTAAATTAAAGAAATAAAACAAATTATTTTGACTATGAATACTGTTTTCCCTTTTATTGAAAACAGATTCACACACACACATAATGTTTACTGATTATGGTTCCCCTCCCTCCACTCTCCTTACCCTCTACTGCTCTCAGTTCCTCCTCATTTCCTTTCCCATCTAGATACACCCCCATCTCATTTGTTTAGTTTTGATTTGAAGTCTATTTTATATTAAAATGTCTACACCAGCTTGCTTCTTAGGTCCATTTGCTTGGATTATCTTTTTCACTCCTTTTATCCTGAGACATTGTCTATCCTTAATATTAGGGTGTGTTTCTTGGGCAAAGACTGAGGTTCCTGTTCTGCCTGATCCCGCAGGCATTTAGTCCCTAGTAAATACACAGAGGCTTATTTATAGACTGTTTGGCCAATGGCTCAGGCCTCTGATTAGCTAGCTCTCTCTCTTAATTATTAACCCATAACTATTAATCTATATATTTCTACATGGCCTTATTAATCACAATAAATAATCTTTTTGATGTGTTCTTCAATTTGGTTCAAATATATTTTATTAAGAATCATTTATTCTATATTCATCAGAGATATTGGCTCATAATTTTCTTTCTTTGTTGAGTCTTTTTGTGGTTTTCGGTATCAGGTTAATAAGATTTAGAATTACAAATTAGAGTTAGAATTTCTAATTAGAATTAGAAAATGTGTCTTCAGTTTCTACTACCTTGTGCAATAATTTGAGTATTATTGGTGTCAGTTCTTCGAAGGACTTGTAGAA